TGAAAAATGAAATGTAAACAATATTTATAATAGTTGAAATCATTATAAAAACTTAGAAATACTGGTCAAATAATCAGAAAAACTGGAAATAATTTTATTATAATATTTGAAAAATCGCTGAAACAAGCGAAAAAAAAGCACTTTCAAACTTCATAATTAAACGTATTATAACATGGCATACACTTTCATAGCATTATGCTACATTTTAAGTCAATCCTTAAAAATTAGCAAGTACTTTAAGTCCTGAGCCCTGATCATAATATTTATGTATACAATTTAATAATTAATCATACTTATGCAAAAGGCAAATTGTAAGGTATTCGTGAAATTTAATTGTTATGGTTCAGTACTTTATTTCTAATTTCATAGTGCACAAAGTTTTACTAATAATTTAAAGTAGACCACTTAAGATTCTTTTKTTTTACTGTATAAAATTTATTATGGGATACCTTGAACATATTTTTTTTAAATTAAATATGATATATTAATTATTTATATATTTACAATTCTGTCGTGTAAAATATAATGGACAACTAATACAGTTATAATTTTTATTTTTTTCATAAAATATATCAATATATTAACTTAGATTTTAATCTATGTAGAGGCTTTTCTTTTCTTATTTTTGCTTAAATAATATTTATTATATTTGTGTGTTTTGATGTATATTGTATATATAATGTTTTTTTTTTTTTCTAGATACATAGAGCTCCTTTAGCTCTTATGGAAGACCTAGAAGTAGAGACAGCTGCATAATGTGATAACTAATGATGGGTGCAATTGACACTACATTAAATCAATGTTGACATAATTCACGTCATATATTTTGATAAGTTTAAAGTCKTAATATTAATTTTAGTTATTTACTACTAACGAAGATACAAATTGATTAATATGACTCAAAATTTATGTTGTACCTGTTATTCAGGTAACATTCTGACWTGGCTATCACGTCTTTTTATATTTTTTTACACTTACTAATTTATAACATAATAATGGCACTTCACCATTCCTAATACAAATTTATTAATGGTGCCTTAGTTAAGCAATAAAGATAATAGGCACTATTTAAAAAATAATAAATGCTATTTAATGATGAATTTTATTAAGTTTCAATTTTGATAAAATTTATCATCTTTTTGTTGTGTATTTAAATGTTATTCTATTTTGTCGTAATATCACTAAATTCAATATATTTTTAAACTCCTTTAATTGTATTACATTTATATGTTAATTATTATTGATAATGGTTGTACATAAAATCATATTTATACTTATTTAATTCATACTAAAAATGTATAACTATTTTCAAATGAAATGTCTTTATTTTTTATGTGCTATTATTACTTAATAGTTTTATAAACTAATGAAATATTGTATTTTTATATTACAATATGATAAAAATTTACTTCAAAAACATTCCTTTTATGTATTTATTAAAAAATTAAAT